GTGTACCGCGCCCGAGCCCAACCGAACCGTGCCCTGGCCCACCTCTTCCAACCAGGCCAGGGCCGGCTAAACGAACCGCGCCCGAGCATGGCAAGGAGTGCTCACACTAGTCAAACAAACCAGGCTTTGGGGGTCAAACGCACTCGGGCACGGTTCAAAATGCCTAGTGTGAATACACCCTAAGTTGGAAGAGCAACAAGTGGTGGATTTGGTTTGACACTGTGTTTGATTAAGTTGACTTATGTGTTTTACTGATCATCGGTTGATTGCTCATGCCTGAGCTGTGTATGTGGTGGTTTTGAAAGAACGATAGTTAGTAAAGAAGCAGCTCACGGCTCACAGTCTCATAGTGTGTTTATTAGACAGAAATAAGACATGCACCATCCGGACAAACAGACAAGAGGACACGAGAACATAACATGGTGTCAGAAGTGACAGTGGAGTGAGTTCCGCAAACAGTTTTGTTGATACAAACTGACTAGCATACCAGCAAAATTTGCATGCTATCGGCAGACAAACATGGAACAGTTTAAGCCACCCTCGCCACTAATGCTAGTGGGAAAATTAGCAGAAAATTGGCGGAGATGGGAGCAATGTTTTCATCTGTATATGACTGCAACGGGAGTGAGTGCCAAACAAGAGACAGTCAAAATAGCCATTTTGCTATACACCATTGGAGAAGAGTTGTTAGACATGTATAATGCACTCACCGTCAATCTAGTCGATGAAGAGAACGAGATGATGGAAGACGTGCTCACAGCATACCGAGACTACTGCAGCCCACAAAAAAAATTGTATTTGAGAGGCATAAATTGTGGTCTTATCCCATGGCAGATGGCATTACAGTGGATAGATTCATCACAGAGCTGAGACAAAAAATCAAAGACTGTGAGTTTGGCCCAATTGAGAATTACATGCTCAGATACAAGCTGGTGTTTAGTATAACAAACCTTTCTCTCAAAGAAAGATTATTTCGCGAAAATGATTTGTCATTGCACGGGGCTGTTGAAATATGCAGATCAACTGATTTAGCCAAAACACAAGAGGCAATGCAAAATGCTGCAGTTGTTCAAGACTCTCAAGTAAATGCTATAGAAAAAGCGACAGAGCAGAGAAAACTAGGTGTAAGAAATAACAGCAACAAGAACTCAATTACACAAAACTGTCACAGATGCAGAAAGAGCCATGAGCCACGCCAATGCCCAGCCTTTGGCGCGTGCAGCAAAAGTAACCACTTTTCCAAGGTATGCCATGCAGTCATTCACAATGATAGCAGAGCAAAGACGGTGCACAGCATAAGGAGTGAAACAGAATCCATGTACATCGGCACATTAACACACGCTCAAGTGCATGAGATGTAATACACAAAAGACAGTGTGTGGTACACAACAGCTACCATCCGAGGTGTAGAGATGAGATTCAAACTAGACACAGGTGCAGAGGCAAATGTGCTACCTGTATCCATTGTCCAGAAGATCCCTGGTCCAGTTAAGCCACAGCCTACATCAACGGTGTTAGTAGCATTCGGGGGACCCCTCTCAGGTGTTACGGAAATGCAAGACTGATAAAAGTCACAGCCACAATACAGTTCTATGTCCGATCAATCAAAGATGCCGATCCTCAGCAGAGCAGCATGTAAGCAGCTGCAGCTAGTGAAAAGAATTGAAATGCTTGCAAAGAAGTCGGCATCAACCAAAGAAGATCTGGTCAAGATGCATCCATCAGTCTTCACTGGGTTTGGTGAGTTCCCAGGAGTTCATCATATACATGTTGACCCGACGTCACGCCTTTTAACTCCCTATGGGGCAGATATCGCTTTCTGAGACTCCCGTTCGGCATCAAGTCTGCAACTGACGTGTTTCAGCAGAAAAACTGCGAGACTTTTGGTGACATACAAGGAGTACACATCATTGCTGATGACATGATCATTGCTGCCACATCACAACATGAGCATGATGTAATCCTTGCTAAGGTCATGGAGAGTAGTGATGGGAAGTTCGGATCATTTTACCGACTCGGACCTTTAACCAATGCAGTCTGAGCCGGAAAGAGAATTAATTAGTTAATCTCTTGAGTCTTTCGAATCGTTCATTCTTTTGTCACGTGACGTGACAACATTGGATAGAGAAATTAGTTAAATTACAAGCTTCCTTACAAACGGGTGCATAGTTATTATTATTATTATCATCATTATTA